CTAGTATACATGGACCCTCTTGGTACGGCTTCGGGCCCCCAGCCCGTAGCTCGGTTCTCTGAGCTATACCGACTGAGGCTTGTCCCAGCTAAGGTTGAGGGTTTAGGGGTTTAGGGGTTTAGGGCTTTAGGGGTTCAGGGTTTAAGGTTTAGAGGTTTAAGGGTTTAGGGGCTTTGGGGTTCAGGGATTCAGGGTTTAGGGGTTTAGGGTTTAGGTGTTCAGGGTTTAGGGGTTTAGGGTTTAGGTGTTCAGGGTTTAGGGGTTTAGGGTTTAGGTGTTCAGGGTTTAGAGCAAACCACAAAAACTTCGGTAAGATTTAGGATCTATCTGTTCTAGCTTCAGAGCTTGATCAGGAACTGTCCGCCTGCATCGAGAACCGAGCACTGATTGCCCCAGCGATCTAAGGGTTAGTAGCTGGAAAAGGGTATGATAGGATTGGTTGGTGTTTTCAGGCTTTTCGGCCTTAGAAGCCAGAATAGGGTTGTGTGTGTGTGTGGGGGCTTTCGGTAGTTAGAATATAGTTTTGGGGCATGGCCCAGTGCAGGTACGTAGGTATAATAAAGAGATACCGCCACGTCGCCTCAAATTCAGCACTCTGTAGTACTGTTTCGGTCTCCTTCTGAGTGGCGCCTGCATCCGCTTCATCTGCTTGAGGCCCCATGGCAACGACTCGCACGATCGTCTTGTCTCCTTGACGATCTGCAAACGACACATAGCGCCTCCATCACATGGGTAGTTCTCTAAATTCGGGTCCCTTTTTCGGGTCCTTGTTACACGGGTGCCGTACGATATTGGGGACCTAAGAAGGGACCCCCAATTTAGAGAACTACCCATATGACTAAGGAACCTTCACCTCGCACTACCCCTACTGCCATAGACATACAGAGCTTGCCGCGTACTGTACTCTGTCGCCTTGTTGCCGGGGGTGGCGGGCTCAAGACAATGATGCTGATTGAGGGAATTGAGGGTTAGAGGGCGGATTGAAGCACTGTAATTATGAGTGTTAGGTTTGGGGTTCAAATAAACAGTTTAAGTGGCAGGCATGGAGCTCATCCCTCACAGCCCTTATATTATAGGGGCTCATGGGGACCCGAAATCCAACCTGAAGGCTACGTAACCCCCCCCACCCTAAACCCTAAACCCTAAACCCTAAACCCTAAACCCCACCAGGCCTTTGGCCCCAACAAAAACAAGAGAGCTCCCGGCCTGCTCGGGGACAGGAGCAAGTGCTGCTTTAGGATCAAGTACAACAGGAACGTGGGGATCAGGATGCCGTAGGCGACGGCACATCCCACCCCCACTGCGTATGCCTGCGCCGAGTAGAAGGGAGAGGGTCTTACCGAAGTGACCAGATACCCCGGGCAGAAAGAAAGGCGATTTTAATGCTATCAGATAGGAAACCGTTTGAGTCTGAAGTATGGAAATGTACACACTGTATGCCACTGTGCAAGTACATAGCGCCGCTTTAGCAGTTGCCCTCATGGCGCGGCGTCTGGATTTGAGGCCACCAGAAACCTACTAAACCCTTTAAGCCCTAAATCCTAAACTCAACACTCTTAAACCCGGAAGCCTAAACCCTAAACCCTAGACCCTTACTAAAACTGTAGCCAGAATCCGTGGTTCAGAGCTAGGTTCGGGGATCCATGCATCCCATGACGAGTTCAGCCAATCAAACCAAAGCCTAAGCCCTCAAGCCCGAGACCTTTGGGGTTTAGGGTTTAGGGGTTCAGGGGTTTAGGGTTCAGGGATTTAGGGTTTAGGGTTTAGGGTTCAGGGGTTTAGGGTTTAGGGGTTTAGGGGTTTAGGGGGTTTAGGGGGGCCTGAACCCTCAAGTCCCTATACCCCGCACCTCGCAAACCTAAAGTTGGGGGCTGAACCCAATGCCGCCATAGAGCAAACTTCTGGGTAGTTCTCTAAATTAGGGTCCCTTGTCCTTAAGGACGAAAAGAACCTTATATGAACCCTAAACCCTTTTAGGGCTCTTTTCTTAAGGTTTGGGTCCTTGTTACCTTCTGGGGTACTTGGAGGATCATGGGACTTAGTAAGTATGGTTATAAGTACCTTAATTGGGGTTATAAGTAGTTATAAGTAGAGTTACCCTAATAATAAGATCCTTGAAGTAGTTCTCTAAATTAGCGTCCCCTTTTGGGGGTCCTTTTTTATAAGAGTGCCGTACTATATTGGGGAGATCCTAGTTCAGAGAACTCCCATCTAATGTAGACGCCTTGAGTAAGGTTTTTTGGTCTACCATCGTACAACTAGAAAAGGGACCAGGAGGGAAGAAGAGTCCTCACTGTCCCAAAACCCCTGCAAGACCCGATTAAATCTTGAAAAACTTCAGCCCCGTCCATCATAAGACCTATACCTCCATACTCAAGGAAGCATTGCCCTAAACCCTAAACCCTATGTAAAGCCGAAACCCAAAACCTCCTTATTAAAGGAAGTAGTACTGCGGGGCTAGACCAGTCACTCAAACCCTAAACCCTCCACCCTAAATCCTACACCCTAAACCTTAAAACCTAAACCCTGAACCCTAAACACAGGCTTTGGGGACCCACAGACTCCAAAACCCTTGACATGAATATACCTGCCGGTATGGAGGGATTCGTAATATGAGTTACGGTATTTCCGAAGGACTATAACTTAGCATATTACAAAGGGATCATGTGGAAGACTTAAGTAACCTAGCGAAAAAGTACAGGATAGCAGAGGGATTCTTGATCTTATTTCGGGTAAGTGAACCCGTCCCCCTTCTCCAAGAAAAGAAGGTTTCATGGGACTTAGTAATTAAGTATGGTTAACAGCACCTTCATTTGGGGTATAACGAATTATAAGTATAGTTACTAAGTACCCTCAACCCTAAACCCTACCCTAAACCCTTTACCCTAAACCCTATTTTCCGTCTGTCTGGGGGACCCGACCCAAACAGCTTCTCCGCTGGTCTCCGAGCAGGACAGATAGGGCAACCTCGGTTGACCAGGAGATGGGTTTAGGGTTTAGGGTTCAGGGTTCAGGGTTCAGGGTTAAGGGTTCGGGGTTCAGGTTAGGGTTCAGGGTTCAGGCAGGGTTCAGGGTTTAGGGTTCGGGGTTCAGGGTTCAGGTTAGGGTTTAGGGTTTAGGGTTTAGGGTTTAGGGTTTAGGGTTTAGGGTTTAGGGTTTAGGGTTTAGGGAAACCATAATAAGGAAACCATATTATTTACTATAGATCCCTATTATGGCAACTTAAATTAAATCCCTTAACAAGAACCCAGTAATTTGACGGCGGACGGCTCAGGGTGCATGGAGCTCAGGGCCTGTAAGGTTTGGGGTTTCGGGCTTAGGGTTCGGGGTGTTGGGTTTAGGGTTTAGGGTTTGGGGTTTGGGGTTTAGGGGTTTTTAGGGGTTTAGGGTTCAGGGTTCGGGGTGTTGGGTTTAGGGCCGCGGATTGGATTTCTGTTTGGTGTAGGGGCATATAGTGCACCTTTTTCCCGACGATCACTACCCATAAACCTGTACAACCCTAAGTCCACAACGCTAGAACACCCTAAGGCTCATGGACCCCCGTAGTGAAAGCCCAAACCTTAGCCCCCCGAAGCCCAAACCTTCCCAGAGAAAACCCATACCCGCAATAAGAGCCTTTGGGTATTGAATTCCTAAACCCCTAAACCCTAAACCCTAAACCCTGGCACCTTCACAGCTAAGAACACTTTGCTTGTTGACTGAGCAGCTATGACTGGAAGGCATCAGCTTCCGGCAGAAGTGTTCCGTCTGCGCAAGCACCGTGTTCACCAGCCAAGGCCCCTATTCCTACACCTCCCGAAGCTCTAAACTTTGAACCCTAAACCTTCAACCCTAAAGCCCTAAAACCTTCAACCCTAAAACCCTGAAACCCTAAACCCTAAAGCCCTAAAACTGTAAACCCCAGGCCCCCCATTTCCCTAAATCCCTATACAGCTCTTCACCTCCACTTCCCTAAAGCGTGAAGTCTAAAAAATCCTGGACGCCCCCGTATTGATCTTTCGCATCCCCTGAAACCTAAACCCCTAAAGCCTAAACACCTTGTAGCCCTCGTTGTAACCCCTGCGCCGCAAGACTTTTGCCTCCATCCACCCCATCCACCCACAGGCACTAAATATGAACCCTAATCCAAAAACCCGACACTCCTAAACTCCTAAACCCTAAGCCTTCTGCACATATATATATATATATGTACAAGAGAGAGAGAGAGAGAGAGAGAGAGAGAGATCTTTGCCTCCATCCACCCGCTGGCAGTGAATAAGCTTCGCCCAGCTTGAGGCGCCTCCGATGAAGAGCAGCGACAACGCTTGCAAGGCGAAGTTCACACCTCGGGGTGGTTTAGGATGGACTTATAGGGCTTAGGGGGGTCAGGGCTGTAAGGTTGAAGGTTTTAGGTTTAGGGTTTGCGGTCTAGGGTTTAGGGTTTGCCATTGAATTGTGGCCAGCCGGCCTCTTTCTTATGACCACACGTGCCGTTGTTGGCAGTGCAGGGCAGGGCAGGGCTATAAACTCGCCTCTAGTTCCTCTGCAGGAGCAGCCCTTTTCAACCCCCGGTTCCCAGCGCCTGAGATAAGTTACGCTTTCCAGCCGCAACTGCCGGTTTAGGGTTTAGGGTTTAGGATTGTAAGCCTTACTAGCAAAGCTGCCCTCGTCCCGATAAATGCAGTGTAAGTCAGGAGGCACCTGTGTGCAGAAAAATGCGTTTACAGCTACTGCTGGGTGACCCGATAGTGGGTGTGACCAATCCATGCATGTTGTCACGCCAGTGCCAAATCACTGGCCCGTTCACCCTAAGGGTCCAAAGTCCTTATTTATGGTTCTAGGTACAGAAAAGGGCCCCAAAGTCCTTAAATAATGGGTACTTGGACCTTAGATTCACACACTCACAAACCCTAAACCCTAAACCCTAAACCTCGCAATTTAAATGAGACCCTGTCGGTCCCCACCTCGCCCCCTCTGCATGGCTTCTGCAAGCATGCACAGAATCAGCAGCAGCGGCAGCACGCAGGGAGCGACAAGAGCGCAAATCGTCCTCGACATCCTTCCAGGCTACAGTTTTTGCTTTGAGGTTTGGAAAAGGGCCCATGATCACGGATCAACTTAGAAGTTGAAGGACTTTAACTAAGGCGTTTGGGCGTGGAGGGGTCGGGGATTGATGATGCAAGGTAGAGTTCCGGATCGAATTGGAGCTTTCAGCACATAGTTTGAGCACAAGAGTGTCCATATTCAGGAGGCATATTAGTACCCCTCTAAACCCTAAACCCTAAGGCCCTAAACCCTAAACCAGAAACCCTGAAACTCAAACCTAAACCCTAAAGCCCTGGGGCCTCGAGGTACCTAAATTGGGATTTGGGTTTAGGGTTTACTTAGGGTTTAGGGTTTAGATTTTGGGGGTTGTGGGTTTGGGGGTTTTGGTTTAGGGTACTGGCTCAGATACTATATATATATATATATGGTTAGTAACCTGCTAATTATGTAAGCAACTGGAGCCCTGGAGAAAGTTACTCCGTGGGCCCGGGGTTTAGGCTGTAGGGCTCAAGGTCTTGGGGTTATTTAGGGTTTATAGGGTTTAGGCTGTAGGGTTTTGGGGTCTTGGGGTTTGGTTCAAGGCAGTTTAGAGTTTATAGATAGTCGTGCAGACTTCCTGGGTTTTCAGGAGACGGA